ATTTTCTACAACAAATTTCAGTTTTGACTCCTGTGCCCCAAACATAGTAGAACTTAGTAAATACCCAAGTTGAATTAGCTTTTTTTTTTTACACACAATGCAGTGCTTGGATAGCAACTTCAGAATATCTGTAGCATTTTTGTCTTGTGACATACAGATTTGTGGGGAGACGCATGTCCCAGAAACGTCGAACTCTATAAAATCACAGAAGCGCCCTGTGGATGGGGCGTGTGGAATATTCCAGCAGCTCTCTGGAGGAGTTCCTCAGAGGTGTGGTGCTGACTACCTACATCAGGATCAACTCACATCTTTTTAAAGATGCAGTTTCTGGGTCCCACCCCAGACCTACTGAATCAGAATTTCTGAGGATGGCGCTGGAATCTTCCCTTTTAAGACTGTACCCCGCCCTCGGTTCTGACGCACACTAACATTCAAGAACCATTAATCAGGAGCCATCAGATACATGACTTTTCAGATTTTCTTCTTTGAAAGAACAAGAAATCCGTATCATTTTAGGTACAAGCATTCATGCTTTCAGGGCATCCCCACTGGTCCCCAGACTCTGTTGTACACATCAAGGTTGCTCTCTGGAGGAAGAAAATCAGTGTGCATCGCCCCTACTGTACTTCCATTGCTGCTATTACATGAATTTCTGATTGAAACCTCAGCAGAATCCTGAGAGGGGCTGTAGTGGGTTGAATGGTGGCACCTAAAAAGATATGTCCGTGTCCTCACCCCTGGGACCTGTGACTGGGATCTTCTTTGGCAAAAGTCTTAGCAGCTGTGATAAAGTTAAGGGTCTTGTGATCCGTGTATCTTGGATTATCCAGTAGGACCTAAGTTGAATGACCAGCTTCTTTACAAGAGGTGAGAGAAGGAGGCAGGCAGAGAGAAGAGGATCATGTAATGACAGAGGCAGAGGTTGGAGTGGAGCTGTCACAGCTCAAGGAACTGCTGGAGCCACCACAAGCTGGAAAAGGGAAGGGAGTCTCCTTCCCCAGAGCCTTCAGAGGGGGCACAGCCCTGCCCACACCTTGACTTTGGGCTGCTGGCCTCCAGAACTAGGAAGGAATAACCTTCCATTGTCTTAAGCCACCAAGTTCACGGTCATTTGTTGTAGCAGCTGTAGGAGACTCATACCGAATGGTATTGTTATTCTCATTTATATCATAGAGCTGGGTCTCCTGTCGTGGAATAGATTGTCTTACAATAACTGCTAGCTCCCAGGACAATGGTAACCTTGAATTGCTTCTTCCTTTGAGGGGATTTAGGACTTAAGCACACGTCTTTCTACTTTGATGGGCCTGGAAATCATTGCTGCGCACTTGGCACAGTGAAAAGCCTGGAGGGAGGTGAGCGAATTCCCAAAGTCCCAAGTAGGAATCGTTCTGGCTGGAGGAGCATGACCCACTGTGCCCTCCACTGGTGCTCAGCCTAGCGATGTTCATGACACAGCAGCAACAGCACACCCCAGAGCATCCACACCCCAGAGCATCCATGTGGCTGTACCCCACTCTCCCACAGTGGGGAGCTCGCCCGATGTCAGCCTGCGCCTTAAGTGGGGCGATCTCCTGGGCCTCCACTTCTGTCTGATACTATGTCCATCATTTCAACTCCTGGTACAAATTAGCCTTGGCTTCCTCAGCTCATGGGTGGGAGTCAGAGTGAATGACATCAAAGTGGATGCTAACCACCACCCATTTCAGTAACAAGCCTCTAAAAATACATTGAGCTTATAAAGTATTCATGGATCTAAAAGCACTTGAGTAGAGCTTTAAGGTTAAAGCACTACCTTGAGATTCAGACAGACCTAGATTGGAATGCGAGCATTTAGCAGTTCTGATGGATCTGCAAGCAAGTTACTTAACCTGCCTGGGTGTCAGCATCCTCACTGACAAAACTGGGTCTCGCCTCTGGGGGTTGCTGTGTGGATTAACACGGAGATTGCACAGGGCTCAGTGTAGGGTTGGATGGGCCGTGCTGAGAGATAATTGTAATTATCATTCCATGTCTTAACGCATCCACCTGGTTTGGATTTTCACTTCTTGATCCCAGCCTAGGTTCTAAGTCTTTCTCTTTTTCTTAAAATTTCCATGGACAAAAAGTGTGCACGGTAGGGTTAATATGAGCCTCTCTTATAAGCTATTTATTAAATTTGGGGGGGGTCTCAAATGATCATTTAATTTGAAGACTACTCTACTGCTGTTTTATTTCTCTTGTGTGGGAAATGTCAAGTTGGATAGATGGGAAATACCACTGATTAGGGATATTAAGCATGTGAGAGTTTAATGGCAGTGGGGTTTTTTTTTCTTTTTAAAACAAAGCCAAGCATATGGGGTTATTAAATTATTGATGTTTTTGCTGCAAGTGGATTTATAAATAATATATGTTTAAAGGGTTACTTCCTTTACATTTCTTTAGGGAGAACGAAAGAGTCTTCTCATTTTGAGTTTAAAGAGAACTGACAGTTGGAGAAAGGTCAACAGAATGTTCATTCGTGCAGTTTCTATGCTCCAAACCCCACGCAACTTAAAATAAGAATATAACAAATTTTATGTAACCGTATCAAAGTCTCCCTTGTTTTTAGAGCAGAATGAGGCAATGATTTTAATTTAGGAAATAGGGAGGCAAAAGCTTAAAACATAGTAATAAAAAGTTTCATATTAAAAAGTATCACTTCTTTTTCTCAGAAAATCTCCAAATTGTTCAGCATCTATGGAGAAAAACAAAACAGGAACCCAACAATTAGTCTCTGAAGACTTTCAACTTTCTGACACGTTAGCTGTTTAGAATATGTTATTTTGAAAAGGGATGATGTGGAGTGACTGGGCAGATGCTCGGGAAACTGTGAAGCCACCTATGATAGCCTCCACCCAGGGCTGCCCTCTGCAGGTGGGAGCCCCGGGGAATTCTGTGGTCCATTGCATTTCATGCACATGAGTGTGGGAGCAGCGTAGGAGCCACAGTTTCCATCAGATTATTTGTGGTCTTGAAGAAAGTTAAGATCCACTGCTTGGCCCTTTTTTCCTTTTGAAACTGGCTGAGAGGAAAGAGGGGGTGGTGGGTTGGGGGTTAAGGCTGGGAAGGAGAACCCCCTACACACAAGCTCTTCCTGTGTTAATTACCCTCTCATCTCCCGGGAACCCTTCCACCTCCAAGAACCAAGAGCAGCACTCTAAACAAAAACCAATGATGGAAAAGGAGTAAGTAGGTAGATAGGTAGATAGATAGATAGATAGGTAAATAAATTACTATGCTGGGCATCAGAAATTAACACAATATTGTAAATTGACTCTACCTCAATTAAAAAAAAACTAGTTACAGAATGTGAATGGGAAACAATAATAGGAAAAGGCAAAATGTCTTTAAATCTTTTGTTTCTTGAATTTTTTAAAAAAATTCCTTTTTTTTTTAACTGTGCTGCCCCATCTCCTACCCCAGCCATGTATTTGCTTTTAGCCTCTATCTTGGCAATTTTCCAAAAGGTTTTGCTGCAGAATATAAACTCGTGACTCAATGACAAAGCGCAAGCATTTTTTCTGATGGTGAGTGGATAGTTTAAATGTTTTCTTTTAAGAATGTGTTTTCTTTACAAAAATTTAAAATACATTCTTCCTGCCAGTTCAGGCCTGAGAGTTACCTGATTGCGTTATCTATTTGTACTAGGAAGAGAGTGAGTGAAAGTTACATGAAAAATTGGGTGGGGAGAGATCAGAGGAGTAATGTTCCCAAATTTACATATTTACTTTTAGAGGAGGGACTGGGGATTGAACCCAGGATCTCATGCATGCTAAGCATGCACTCTACCACTTGAACTATACCACCCTGCTATGTTGCTGAATTTAATTACATCTTTCTAATGAGGACAGGGCGGAGGGAATTTGTAAGTAATTTAAATAATTTGTCCAGCATCCCCCACATGGGTATGGGGCCAGAATCCAAATCTGGGTCTCTCTGACTCCAAAGCTCACATTCCTTTTTCTGCCTTTGCCTCTGGTGAGGTTGCTCTGTGACCCCTCGGTTCACAGAGTCCCCCATCCCCCACTCTGCACCTTAGAACCGGGGACGGAGTTTTGCGTGCTCTTGGAGGAGCGAAGGGCTGATTCTGGGCTCATTCCAGAAGATGCCTGGTTATTTACGTTGACAGGTGGTGGCTATAGAGAAGGATTATTGGATAAGACAAAAGAAGCGAGATGACAGTTTTCTTGAAAGACTGCAGTATGTATCTGTTAGAAAGGATGAAGAATGAAGCAATTGAAGCCTGAGCAATAGAGTGTTGGTGCTTTGAAAAATAGCCAACTTGACTTGAGTTTTACCTTGTGCATCTAGACATGAGCTCTACCAATGAGCTATCCCCTCCCTGAGAAACTGATTTCAATTCCTTTGGATAAACACCCAGAAGTGAGATTGCTGGCTCATATGGTAGTTCTCTTTTTAATTTTTTTTTGGGGGGGGGCACCTTTATACTGTTTTCCAAAGTGGCTGCACCAATTTACATCCCAAACAACAGTGTACAAGAGTTCCCTTTTCTCCACATCCTCACCAACACTTATTATCTCTTGTCTTTTTATAAAAACCATCCTAATAGGTGTGAGGTGGTTTGATTTGCATTTCCCTGATGATTAGTGACGTTGATCCCTTTTCATAGACCCGTTGGTCACCTGCATGTCTTCTTTGCAAAAAATTGTCTGTTTAGTCCTTTTCCCATTTGTCAATTGAAATTTACTTATTTCTTTGTTATTGAGTTTTACATGTTCCTTATATTATTTTGGATATGAACCCCTTATCAGATGTGTGGCTTGCAAATATTTTCTCCCATTCAGCAGGTTGCCTTATCATTTTGTCCCAGGTCTAACTCCTCTTAAACAAACACCAAAATCTGACCAGAAGGTCTAATCCATCAGAATCCTGACACTAAACTGATAGAATAAAGTAGAAAATGATTAAAAAAAAATTGGTGACAAGGATGTTTAAATAAATACAGAGCCCTCCGGTGGCCTCCTGTGTTGCCTACCTCCCTGTTACTCTCAGTTAAGCTCAAGTCCCAGAGGGTGATCTGTAAACTCAAAAAGACAAGGCATCAGAAGTCAGGCAAAACCAGCTGAATTCTGTTCTCTGTGAGCCTCACTAACTGAGACAGAAAGGGGACTCGTATTTCAGAACGTTTCCTGGTAACAAGGTTAAGCCTTGATAAACCGGAGAACTCCGGGCATCAGAACACACGGTTCCGGACCTGGCAGGCGCCTTCCCTACAAAGGAGCTCGGTAAACGAGTGTCTATTCCCCTAAGGCTGGTGGTTGGGACTGAGCGACAGGAGGCTCCTCTAAGCATCGCACAGTTTTCTGTCCCCCTCGGTCCTGCCTGCCTGGCATCCCTCCTGCTTTTCCTCACTCACTGCTCCAGCCCGAGAAGAAACCTAGGATGACAGACAACGCGGTGACCCATCTGACATCAGGCTGAGTCCTCTTTATCTGTGCTTTTTGTCGGCCTCCATCTGATACTGGGAACGACCGTTTTAGCTGTGTGCAGGTTTTCATTTCACAGAAGACCCCCGGACCGCAGTGGGATGCTGGTGATTTAAAGGTCTGGTGCGTGTGGCTGTCTGAGAGCTCTTTGTTTTCCACGATCCTGCGACTAGAAAGAGAAACCCTGGTGCATTTACATCATGCGACCCTGCAAGGGTCAGGGAACCCTTCGCTTTGGGCTGTGTCTCTGGTGGTATGTATTCATACCTTTCTTTAAAGGTAAGTTTTATTTCTGCTTTATCTTGTATTCCATTTTTAGCTACATACATTTACTCTCTTTTTTGTTTTACGTTGAAGTGTAGTCAGTTACACGGTGTCAATTTCTGATCTACTGCATAATATCCCAGTCATGCACATATATACATATATTCATTTTCATATTCTTTTTCATCATAGGTTTCTACAAGATATTGAATATAGTTCTCTGTGCTATGCAGAAAAACCTTGCTGTTTATCTATTTTACATATGCTAGTTAGTATTCAGACTCACAGTCATAGTAAACAAACTTACGGTTACGGGGGCAAACAGGTGGGAAGGGATAAATTGGGAGTTCGAGATTTGCAAATACTTTCCTTTTCTAGTTGTGCTTGACTGAGCAGAGATGAGATATTCTAGGGGTAAATATGTAGAGTGCCTGCACAGGGACTCCTACTCTGACAGCTGCTAACTAATCTACAAATGAATTTTTTAAAATTCATTTTTAGACTGGCTTAACATGTTAAGATGCGATTTTGGGGGGTGGGGTGGTGGGGACAAAGAAACATCGTAAACCATATTTCTTTTTCTTTTCCCAATGAAAATAAGCAATAAGAATAATGGTACAGTTTTTCTATCCATCTCTGCTGTGATGTATTCAGCCTATTTATCTGTATTTAGCATCTTTTCAAAGCTGTGCTTTATTTGTTAGCGAATGCTGTTTCTCAGTCTATGAACCCTGTCATTTTGTAGATCTTTGTTTTGGGAAACCTGTCACATTACTATGCTGAAATGTGTCCTAAGAGTAAGAACATTCATTTTTGAAGTTAAGATTTAGTCACTACAGCTGCTCTGCTGGACAAAACCACATTTCCGTGTACTGTTACGTTTGCAAGGACTTGCTGGCTAAGACTCACACAGGGTTTATCTGAAGTATCTCAAAGGAAAAGAAACATCTCAAAGGGGGAAACTGATGAATGGGAGGGCGTTTTTAATTATCTGTTTTATTTCTATCATTATTAATTATGATGTCAGAGAATGATGTTTTAGATTTAAAATTGTTCTTTTCTGCTGAAAGCTCAGTGTTTCTGTGTTTTCAAATGCATTTGTCAAACAGCACCTTTTATTTAGTAACATAACAGCTCCCCTTTCGTTTGTTTTTGCCAAATGAGTTGCTCATTCCTTTAATATTTTTTCTTTTCAAAGTATAAATTCCTTTGAGAAATTTGTAGAATAATATTTCTGATATCAAATTTGAATTCTAAAAGGAAAAATATGAAGGAGGTGTATTAATGAAATGAATTAGGGCAAATGAAGGCAAGTTGCATTCTTGGAATAAGACAGATAGACATTAAGCCATTGTCCAAAAATTAATGACTGAAAATGTCATTGTTTTTTGAAAACATTTGTTTTTTAAATTGTATTTATTTATTATTTTTTAAAATTTTATTTATTTTGGGGGAGGAGGAGGTAATTCGTTATTTATTTATTTATTTATTTATTTATTTATTTATTTATTTATTTATTTATTTATTTATTTATTTATAATGGAGGGCCTGGGGATTGAACCCAGGACCTTGTGCACACTAAGCATCGCTCTACCACTGAGCTACACCTCCCTTCCTTGAAAATGCTATTGTTTAAGAACCAATTCTGGATTAAAAAAATATTTTAAGTAGATTTTCCTTAGAAACCTTGGCCTCTCACACATCTCCAACATACCTGAAGCTCAAAGTTGACTTTAAAAAGGAGGTGGGCTTAAGTCGTTGATGAAATTACTAGTTATTTCAGTTTGGGGAACGTTCCTGACCTACATACCCTGTCATTGTAGAAACAGAGGCCAGTTGGACCAGTGTTTTGATGAGAAAGGGCAGGACTTTTCTGTAGTTTCTGGGGCAGCGGGACGGCGAGTTCTGTTCGGGTACCATCCCGAGCCTGTGTCTGTCCCTTCACATCAGGGCTGCCTTAGACTTCAGAAGTGCGCTCACCAACATCGTTTTGTTTGCTGTCACACTAGTCCTGAGATGCAGGCATTGCTCCTCTCATCTCCGCGGCAAAGCTGAGCAGCGCAGGTGAAGTGGTCCTGCGGGGATGCCTAGGGATGCAGTGCTGGCCCGGATGCCTCTCGCGGGATGGAAGGCGCTGGAACGTCCCCCCACCCTCTCTGCTGCTCTAACTCCTCCCTCTGCTCCGCCCCGCAGGCTGCGCAGGCTGTGCCTCCGAGGAGAGACTCTTTCACAAACTGTTTTCTCATTATAACCAGTTCATCAGGCCGGTGGAAAACGTTTCTGACCCCGTCACGGTGCATTTTGAAGTGGCCATCACGCAGCTGGCCGACGTGGTAAGCGGGGGGGGGGGGGGTTCACCACGTGCGCCTGGAGGAGGCCCCACTCCCAGGCCGTAGGAGCGAGTCCCACTGCACGTGGTCATTAAATGGGTTTTAAAAGATGAAACAAACGGAAAATCCAGAGTGCTGGTCCTTCAAAGCCGGCCGGCTGGGAGGGAGACCCTTTCCCCAGCGATGCTGTAACCCTCACGTTAAGGCAATGTTTTTCTGAAAGTGCTTTCAGGACCAGTTTATGAAACAAAGAGGTGAAAGGGAAGTTGAAGGGAGGTTAGAAAGGGAGCTAACTTCACTGTGCACCTAGTATGCACCAGTGTCTACACTTGGTGGCTGCCATCTGCATTCTACAACTTTGCCGAGTGAAACAGTGGTGGGAAGATCGTGAGGCGTGTGATGTCAGGGCCACCATGTTTTCTCCAGTCTATGCTTCCCAGTGGACTGGGCTGGCTTGGTCCTCTAGCCCAGGCTGGAAGTGTGTATATGCAGGTAAATACTGATTTGAAAACCAAAAAACAAACAAACAGGTGTTTCTCTCACCTGGATGGGCCCACTCATTCCTTTATTCAATAATTTAATCAACATTTATTGAGTGCCTGTTCTGATGCCTCTGCCACCCCCCTCTCCCAAATAGCTTAGCCCTGGTTACTGGTCTCTTACCAGGCTGGGGACTAAACTTCCTATGGGTTGGGCTGCTAAGAATAGAGAACTGAACTGAGTTTCAGCTCAAGTCTGTGATACAGCATCGCTTCAAATCCATGACTGATCCGTCCTTTTATTATTCTGGAGATGGTGGGTGGGGACTGCTAAATACAGATTTTGATATTTGTGTTTGGCTCCTATCAGAGATTGAAGCACACACACACTCAGCTTAAATAAAACAGGTTTCTTTCTTTTTTGGGGGGGGGAATATTTATTAATTTATTTATAACTGGAGATACTAGGGATTGAATCCAGGACCTCGTGCATGCTCAGCACATGCTCTACCACTGAGCTAAACCCTACCCACCATTTCTTTCTTATGTAATAGAAATGTAAAGGTTAACAGCCCAGGTTAACACCACGTGGCTTCGTGGTAGTGGTTGCACCACCATGTTCAATTGCCCAGGTTACGCACTGCACAACTCCTGGGGCTGTCAATCACCTGGGCTACGATGCTAAAAGCATTAACTGTATGTAGTGACAGTAACCAAGGGTCCTTCTGTCTTTCTATTTCACCATCCTCAGCATGTGGTTTCTTACCTCTGTGTTTCCTCATGGTCCAGGATAACTGCTGATTTTCATTTAATCATATTCACATTCTTGGCAAGAAGCAGGAGAAGAGAGGGGCACATGCCAGACATCTGGGACTTCCTTAAAGAGTTTTCTTAGAAGTGCTCCTGAGAGCTTCTGCTTCCTGGCTCATCAACCACCTCTGGCTGCAAGGGAGGCTTCAGAAATGTAGTTTTGTAACTGAAATTTTATTAATTGAAATGATTGTGGATTCACTGACAGTTGTAAGAAATAACAGATCCCTTGGTTGCTTCCTTTGCCCCGTTTCCCCAGTGGCAACGACTGATGTGCCTTCATTTGTAAAATTTTCTCAAGAAAGCCATACATGAATGGAATCATATAGTGTGGAACCTTGTGGACTGGCTTTCCACTCAGTGTAATTCTTTAGGTTCATCCAAGTTGTTGATTGTATCAGTAGTTCATTTCTTCTTTTTTTTCCTTCCAGTTTTATTGAGATATATTTGACACACACACTGTGTAAGTAAAGTGTGCAGGATAGTGATTTGACTCACATACATCATTTCTTTTCAGTTGTCAAACGGATGATAAAGTTAAAGTTGTTCATAGTGTTTTCTGTCCTTTTGATGGCTGCAGGATCCGTAGTGATTGCTCCTATTTCATTGTTGATATTGGTGATTTGTGTCTTGTCTTTTTATTTTTGTCCATCTTGCTAAACGTTTATCAGTTTTGTTGGTTTTTCCCTAAAGAATCAGCTTTTTGCATTATTGATATTCTCTACTGTTTTCATTTTCAATTTTATTGATTTCTGATCTTAGCTTTATTTTTACTTCGGTATGCTTACTTTGCATTTATTTTGTGCTTTTCCCCCCCTAATTTCTTGAGGTAGAAACTCCAGGCTGAGCTGAGGCTGACACCTCAAGGGCTCAGAGCCTAGAGGGTGCTGGGTACAGCTGGGCAAGGGAGGTTTTCAGGAAGTGGGGAAGATGATGGCAGAAACAATGATACCCATCACCACCTGCAGTACCTCTGCTCCCTCCTACTCTTCCCTCCTTTTTTGTATTTCATGGAGTCAGAAACCTTTCTGGGCTGCAGGGGTCAGAAAAGCTTCATAGAAATGGAACTTAAATCAGATATGACAGACAGTCTTTAAACCACATGTCCTTTCAAAGTCAACAGGGTTAAGACCAGTGTGGAAATATCATATTTCTGGTTGCTTTCTATACGTTGCCTTTTCAGTCTTTTTTGTTTTCCTCCATTAGCAACTACGGCTCTTTTTAGTCGTCATTTTAGCTCTAAGAGTCACTTCTAGTAGCAAGTACATTTGAGGCTAAAAAATTGTCTCGTCTTCCCAGGATGAAGTCAACCAGATCATGGAAACCAACCTGTGGCTACGTCACGTATGTGTCTACGTCATGTGCTCTTGTCTTGGGACTATGTTACTTGTGTGTCAGGTTAATGATGTCTAATGGATAAAATCCACTAGCATTCTTTCTAGAAACTCCAGCTTATGATAGAGCATAAAATATTACCTATCTCCAAAGCCCAGAGTTCACCTCTGGTAACAGCTGGCTGGGAGCAAGCTTTGTGGGTGCAGAACCTAGCAACACAGTTCTCTCTGACCCTGTCCTTTCTGGTTTCTGCTCTCAAGTCTCCTGGTTATTTTGTTTGTTTGTTTGTTTGTTTTGTTTTGTTTTTGCAGTGGGGGGAGATAATTAGGTTTATTTATTTATCTGATTTTTTCAATGGAGTTACTGGGGATTGAACCCAGGACCTCGTGTATGCTAAGCATGCACTCTACCACTGAGCTCTACCCTCCCCCTTGAAGTGCCTGGTTTTTACCCATATCTCGTGGGTTAGATTCCCAGCATCTGGTTTTGTCAGTCCTACCATTTCATGCCTCCTTCCTGTCTTAACCTCATATGCAGATTTTGTACCGAACTCATTATCATACATTTGAACTATCCTTTCAATATTAAAAACACGTTGCCACTCCAGGTTGAACCTAGTCCAGGGAATATGGATGCTGAGCCCATAAACTTGGCCAGTGAGTTAATAATCAATGCTTAGCTAATATCTATTAGATAATTCATATTTGCCAAAATCAGCTCAGCAATCCACCTCCTTGTTCCCCATGGATTTACTCACCCAATTTTTGATAGAAACCCATGTACCCTTTAAATAAGAACTTTTTGAAAAAACTGCTGAACTGACATAGAATTAACACTGGAAGTAAATTAAGGACTTTTTTAAAAAATTTTTTTAAATCTATATTTATATATATATTTTTCTAACTTTTTTTTTAGTGGGGAGGTAATTAGGTTTATTTATTTATATATTTTAGTTTTTATTTAAAAAAATTTTAAAATATGTATGTTTACTGAAGTATAGTCAGTTTACAATTTTGTGTCAATTTCTGGTGTGTAGAGCAATGCGTCAGTCATACATGAATATACGTATATTCGTTTTCATATTCTTTTTCACCATAAGTTACTCTGAGATATTGACTATAGTTCCCTGTGCTATCCAGTATATATTTTTAATTTTTTAATGGAGGGACTGGGGATTAAACCCAGGACCTTGTGCATGTTAAGCACACGCTCTACCCCTGAGCTATATACCCCCCACCAAGTTAAGTATTTTTTTAACTGACTCCTCTTCCCTTTAGATCTGGAATGATTATAGACTGCGCTGGGACCCAGTGGCATACGATGGCATTGAGACGCTGCGTGTTCCTGCGGATAAGATCTGGAAACCTGACATAGTTCTCTACAACAAGTAGGGGCATCTGACAGCCACTCTCTTTCCAAAGTTGCCTCTGGTACAGGCCGAGCCAAAGCACAGGGGCGTCACTCACGGTGTCTGATTTACTTTGCAGTGCTGTTGGCGACTTCCAAGTCGAAGGCAAGACAAAAGCTCTTCTGAAACACGACGGCATGATAACCTGGACTCCACCAGCCATTTTTAAGAGTTCCTGTCCGATGGACATCACTTTTTTCCCTTTTGATCATCAAAATTGTTCCCTGAAATTTGGTTCCTGGACGTATGACAAAGCTGAAATTGATCTCTTGATCATTGGCTCTAAAGTGGACATGAATGATTTCTGGGAGAACAGTGAATGGGAGATTGTTGATGCTTCTGGCTACAAGCATGACATAAAGTACAACTGCTGCGAGGAGATATACACAGACATAACGTATTCTTTTTACATCAGAAGACTGCCGATGTTTTACACCATCAATCTGATCATCCCCTGTCTCTTTATCTCATTCCTAACTGTGTTGGTCTTTTACCTTCCTTCCGACTGCGGTGAAAAGGTGACGCTTTGCATTTCCGTCCTGCTTTCTCTGACTGTGTTTTTGCTGGTGATCACGGAAACCATCCCGTCCACGTCCCTTGTGATCCCCCTGGTGGGCGAGTACCTGCTGTTCACCATGGTCTTTGTCACCCTGTCCATCGTGGTGACGGTGTTCGTGTTGAACATACACTACCGCACTCCCACCACCCACGCCATGCCCACGTGGGTGAAGACCGTCTTCCTGCGGCTGTTACCCCAGATCCTGATGATGAAGAGGCCTCTGGGCAAGGTGAGGGAGACAAGATCTGATAAAAACCCCAAAAACCTCTCCAGGAGGCCCGCCAAAGTCAAGCTTGATCATCGCAGGGAGCCCAGACTTCTTGAAGAGTGCAGCCACTGTTGTCATTCAAGTGAGCTTGCCGCCCCCAAGAGAAGGTTAAGGCATCAGCCTTCACAATGGGTGACCGAAAGTTCCGAGCACTCGCCGGAGGTCGAAGACGTGATTAACAGTGTTCAATTCATAGCAGAAAACATGAAGAACCAAAATGAAACCAAGGAGGTAAATGCATGTCTCCTGTAGCCTGTCCACCCGCAGCAGAGCTGGGGGGGGGTGCCTGTATAGACACGGCGGGTCTTCAGTGTACGTTCTGACTGCAGGACGGTCGGGGGGGTGGTACCCTACGATCGGCTCTGTGGGCATGCAGTTGTGGGCAAACTGCCCTTGCGGGGGCGCAGCAAATCTCCACCTCCAGAAACGTTAACGCAAGAGAAATCTGGTTAAAACAGATGCTCAGGGCAGCCTTGGTTGATTAAACCGAGAGCCCCTGCGTCAGGAAGAATGCAAGAGGGAAAAAGCCGGCCGAGGGGCCAGAGGAAAGCCTGCAGAACCCCTCATGGTCTGGGAGCTGGGAGCTGGGAGCTGGGAGCTGGGAGGAAGGCGAGTGAGCCTCCCGCAGCTCCAGTCCCACTTACTCTCCGGGACAGGGATGTACGTGCTGATTGAATGCGCCTCTGGGATATTTTTAGCATCCACACATTCTGCCCCAGCTGCCCAGAGTCTCACCATAGCAGCTCAGACCTCCTCAGCCTCCAAAGAGAGAGCTCAAGAAATTGATGCCGATTTTCCACACTGGGCGGAAACTAGCTGGGGGCCTCTGATTGCTCATGCCGGGGGTCTGGGTCTGACCTGCCTGCAGCTGCCAGCATCCTTATCTCCTAGTGACAGCACATTGCAGACCTGAAGTCCGCCTGCTGGTGCCAGGAGGACACTGTGACTGCATGTCACACGGGTAGGGGTTGGGATGCATCAGGGACAGGTGAGCCCAGAACTCCCCTCTGTGGTGACACCTTCGTCAAACCTAGGGGACAGTGGCTGCTGACTTAATCACCCCAGGTCGGGCTCTTGGAGGTCAGGAACAGGAAGGAGTTGGGAAGTGCAGTGAACTGTCCCTGACCAGCGTGACCCCAAGGACTGGAGGGCTGCCTGTTCCTGATGAGGGGAGGGGTCCAGCAGGAACATCCCACATCCCCTGCCTCGAGCCCATTTCCTGAACTCGCCAAGGGGTCAGAATGTCCCATGGTGCCCATGACAAGAGTGGAGCTATCTCAGCACCTTTTTGGGGGTGTTCCCTGCAGTCAGACGATGTCCCCTTTGCCCCCCGGAAACCTGCTTACTCTTCTGCTTGCTGCCCGAGGACACGGGGCGTGGGTACCCACCCTCTTCAGACAAACAGAAGTTCTCTGTGTGCTACAGAGGAGACACAGGTTAATCAGAAAAAGATCAGTATTTGCTTGAAAAAGTGCCAGGAAATCATCAGTGAAAAGGAAGCAGCTTATTTTATGAAACAGGGCTCATCTCCCACGGCTTCGATTTTTTTTTTAAGTTGCATGTCTTTCTGTTTGTCTTCCAGGTAGAGGATGACTGGAAATATGTGGCCATGGTGGTGGACAGGGTGTTCCTGTGGGTGTTTATAATTGTCTGCGTGTTTGGAACCGCGGGGCTGTTTCTACAGCCGCTGCTGGGAAACACAGGAAGTTCGTAAGGATGGATTTTCCCTTTACCCTCAGAAATGTACAGACCCTGTTTGTTTTGTCGTCCCCACCACAAGGAAAGGGATGGAAGCTCCCCACCAAGTTCCCGTTGAGATGGAAAAAGAGGACTTTATTGCCAATGAGGAGCCCGAATGCCCTCCTTTGGGGGTACAGAGGAGTCCTTTAACATGTTTTATGACACTGGAGCCCAGAACCGGCAGCTCCTAACAGGGTTCTCTTGTCTGCACACACTTGGCTTCCGGGGACGCGACGATTCAATGGCGCCGCGAACCATGGAATCAGCATCAAGCCTCGCGAAGCCTGGGCTCTGTTGCTCCTCCAGTTGACATGCTTCTCAGAATAAGGACACCTGCCAACGTGACACTCTGGACCTTGGACTTGCTGATGTTTGCACCCCTTGTGAACTAGTGCGTGCTTGCCGCCTTGTGCATGTCTCTGTGATGTAGGGCACACATTTTTTCAGCCTGATTGGATACATTAATTGGTCAAAAGTAATAACAGGTCGTCGGTCCATCCAGCAGGCTGTATTTAATTAGCATCCATCAGGCAAGAGACTTGAGCGGTGACCGACACTGTGCTGGACCTGCCAATGGTAGCAGAAGTAGGTTCTGTTCACACATGTGCAGCTTTTTTAGGGAAAATCATAAACAAAGCGATCTCAGGGCTGGGTACCAGGTGGGGAATGTAACTGGAGCGATGGAAATAGAGCGTGATGTGGTGTGGCAGGACGGACCTGAAGCAGCCTTTGCTGCGGGTCCCAAAGGTGTCTCTTCTCATCCACGGCGTCCATTTGTTCTTTGTAGCTGAGACTGAAAAGAAAAGTGTTTCTTCTCTAAGACATTGTCATCTCATACTTTTTGAAGCCATTCTTTTTCCCTGGGGGAGAGCCTTGGGAATCCTGTCTCACTCCACTCTAATTGATTATCTTTTTATTTTTGTACAAAATTATTACGACAATTTGAAGATGTATTTTATTTTTTAAAAGTTACTTATTTATTTTAATGGAGGTGCTGGGGATTGAACCTCAGGACCTCAGGCATGCTAAGCACGTGCTCTACCACTGAGCTGTACCCTCCCCGCCCCAAGCAGAGGTCTTGAATTTGAGTTACTCTGTTCTAAAATACTTTTACTCCTCATGTCTGTGACTGTAGTATCTCTATATTTTCTGTCTTTTTAGAGAATGGGTTGTTTCTTGATACTTTTTTTTTACTATTAATCCAAATTAATATTTAATGTCATTGTTTGCAGTTTTTTTAAACATTTTTATTGATTTATAATCATTTTACAATGTTGTATCTGTTTGCAGTTTTAATTATGGTAAATACACATAACCAAATTGACCATCTGATCCTTTTTAAGTGTAATACCACAGTCCAGTGGTATCAACTACGTTCACATTGCTATGTAAACATCACCACCATCCATCCCCATAACTCTTTTCATCTTGCAAAACTGAAACTCTGCACCCATTGAGCCATAACTCCCCCACCTGCCTCTCCCCCAGGCCCTGGCCACCACCCTTCTGTTTTGGTTCTTTGAATCTGATTACTTAAGGGATGTCATGTAAGTGGAATCCTACAGTACTTGTCTCATTGTATCTGGCTTATTTCAGTAAGCATACTGTCTTCAAGGTTCATCCATGTTGTAGCAAGGGTCAGCATTTCCTTCCTTTTTAAGGCTGTATAATATTCCACTGTTTGTATGGACCATATTTTATTTATCTACTTACTCATCAATGGTTATTGGGTTGGGTTGCTTCCATCTTTTGCTTATTATGAATAATGCTGCTATGAATATGGGTGTGCAAATACCTCTTTGAGTTGTGGCTTTCAATTCCTTTGTTTATATACCCAGAAGTGAAATTGCTGGGTCATATGGTCATTCTATTATTAATTTTTTTTTGAGGAATCATCATACTGTTTTTCATAG